TTTGACAATAGTTTAAGAAGCACTGTCATAAAGGAGATTGGGCATTTTATAGTCATAGACAAGGTCGAAATTTGTATATTAGACAATAAAAAAGAGACTCCAGGAGTTACTTGCAACTGGCAGAAAAAAGGTTATTCGCCTTGCACCGGGCAGCAAAGAGGAATAGATTCTGGACTTCCAGATTGGGGAAGAGACTCTAGGTAGAGAAAATTGTGTAGGCAAAGGAACCGAAACAGAAAGCTTTGAGATTTGTGAGGAATATCAAGTAGTTCCATTTGTCTGAAACATACATAGGGAAGAGGGCTGAGGCTAGCTTATGAGAGGCATGGAATACAAAGGAGGAGTCTGGAGTTGACTACATTGGCAAAAGGGTGTCTCTGATGGTTGTTGAGGGTCATATTAGCAGTTTTTAGCCAGGCTTGAGAATGCTTTACTTGACAGGAGACAGCTGGAGGATTTGTTAGACCAATGAGACCAAAGAAGCAAGAACAATTTTCTTCCTTATTACATATAAAAATCACATAAGCATATACAGCTATTGAAGAAATTTTAGAAGAAAAGAAATAGGTAAAAAGAAAAAAGAAGCAGGTTAAGATCCAGCCATTTGGAAAAACTTTCTCTTACACGATATAGGCAATGTGATATCATGCACTATAAACACTGTTGTGAAGCCATCTTTGCTTCACTTATTATATCATAAGCATGCCGATAAATATTCACACACATCTTTCTGTAACTGCATATATCATAGTTATATGGATATATCTGGTGAGATAAAAACATGATTGTAATATTCAAGACAATGGAATTAGTAGCAATGAGATTGTCAAACAGGTGGCTGATACATGTACTAGATGTTGAGAATGGCATGTCAGAGAGAAACAATGAAAGAGGGAGAGGGTAAGCTTTATATTTAACAACATGATTAAAACAGATTCCGTCTCTTATCAGTTGTGTATTTGAGTATGTTTCTTGGTAAGGCTCAGTTTTTTCTGGGTTTAATGATTTTAACTTCATATGCTACTATGTACAGGGCCCCGGTAGTGCAGTGGTTAAGAGCTACAGCTGCTAACCAAAAGGATGGCAGTTGGAATCCACCAGCTGCAACCTGGAAACCCTCTGGGGCAGTTCTACTCTGTCCTATATGGTCACTATGAGTCAGAATCTACTTGACGGCAACAGGTATATGCTACTATATGCTATCCTATGAAATACGTATATAAAGCATCTAGCATAGAGTTCAATGTAGAAAGCACTCAATTAATGTTAGCTCTTGCTTTGATAATCAACTTATCATCCAATGTACGTGGGGAAATGAATAATTGTAAAGAAAATGGACTTCCAGGTGTCAAGGTGACATAAAAGTGGAGATTTCAAGGATAAGAGCAGATTTGTGGTAAAGTCCTTGTTAAGCTAACCATGATCATGGGCACCCATCCAATGCTGCAATGACATTCTCAGATACATTGTCTGAGAACCAGCATAATAAATAGCATTACTTCACTGGCAACTTGCACAAGTCTGAACTGTCTAGACGCTGTCCTTTCCCTTAACCAACAAGGCAGGAAGTGTTTCCCTGGTGACCTTCGAGGATTAAATGAAACTTCTAAATGAGCTTAGTTTAGACTTCGTCAAGTCACTAAGTTACTAAGAAAACCAGGTGAGACATCTCTTGAGAATAAAGAAAAAGCTCACATTTTACATTTAGATGTGATTTGTAATAATGAGGCCAAGTTTACATATTCTATTCATATAGTTTCCACTGTATTTCCTGGCTATCTGAAGAATATGCAAATAGGACAAATAGCAATTGTCAGAAAGGAGATCTGGGCTCGATGAGAGGAAAGAATGAACAGAAACTCATTCCTCTACTTGAAAAGCAACCCAATGTACTCAGCACACTGACACTGGAGCCTTTATCTTCAGTGGTATTTATATAGGACTGCATGCTTCTGAGAGTTCAGATTCTGTCTTTTCTTGTTTAAAAGTTTGTTTTTATAAATATTATATATAAATATTATACATCTTAGATATTAGTTTGTTGTTGTTGTTGTTATGAGCCATCAAGTCGGTTCTGACTCAGAGCAACACTGTGTACAACAGAACGAAACCCTGCCCAGTACTGCACCATCCTTACAATCATTGCTATGCTTCAGCCCATTGTTGCAGCCACTGTGTCAATCCATCTCATTGAGGGGCTTCCTCTTTTTCGCTGACCCTCTACTTTACCAAGCATGTCTTTCTTCTGGGACTGATGCCTCCCGATAACACGTCCAAAGTGTTTGAGACAAGGTTTCACCATCCTCGCTTCTAAGGAGCATTCTGACTATACTTCTTCCAAGACAGATTTGTTCATTATTTTGGCAATCAACGGTATATTCAGTATTTTTTGCCAACACCATAATTCAAAGGCGTCAATTCTTCTTCAATCTTCCTTATTCATTGTCCAGCTTTTGCACGCACATGAGGCGATTGAAAATACCAAGGCTTGGGTCAGGCACACCTTAGTCCTTAGAATAGTCCTTAGTCCTTTGCTTTTCAACACTTTAAAGAGGTCTTTTGCAGTAGATTTGCCCAATACAATGTCTCTTTTGATTTCTTGACTGCTGCTTCCATGGGTGTTGACTGTGGATCCAAGTAAAATGAAATCCTTGACAACTTCAATCTTTTCTCCATTTATCATGATGTTGCTTATTGGTCCAGTTGTGAGGATCTTTGTTTTCTTTATGTTGAGGTGTAATCCATACTGAAGGCTGTAGTCTTTGATCTTCATCAGTATGTGCTTCAAGTCCTCTTCACTTTCAGCAAGAAAGGTTATTTCACCTGCATAAAGCAGGTTATGTTAATGAGTCTTTCTCCAATCCTGATGCCCCATTCTTCTTCATACAGTCCTGCTTCTCCAATTATTTGCTCAGCAAACAGACTGAATAAGTATGGTGAAAGGATACAACCCTAACGCATATCTTTCCTGACTTTAAACCATGCAGTATCCCTTTGTTCTGTTTGATATCTGTTAGATATTACTTAGGATATAATATTAACTTTGCAGTTCCAGTATGTAGTCTCAAGATCAATTTTACCAGTGATTGGTAAAGAAATTGTTTAAGAAAATGATTGAACTGATTGACTCCAAATATATCATTTGGTATCCTGTGAAGTGTAAAAGTAGAATCGTGTCCTAGATTTGAAATGTGGCTTAATTTAGCCTGTAGTTCACTACTGAAATATCAGTCCAGTCCTTTGGAACCTCAATATCAAAGGGTTGGTAATACATGAGAGTACATGGCTCTTTAAATAGTCCAAGCTAACCTGAGATAGGAGATATGGGTCATGACTTTTTCTTGCTTTTCAAAGTCAAAGACTATACAAATTTCTATAACCTAGCCAAATTCATGGTAAATAAATCAGAAGATAATTTAACATTTCAAATCTACTGACTCACAACACTACCAATTAAGACAAAATCCTGATAACTTCCCATTTTTGTAATCTCCCTCTATAGAAAATACTTGCTACTAAGTAATAACATGGGGCCCTGGTGGCACAGTGGTTAAGCGTTTGGCTGCTAACCAAAAGATCGTCAGTTTGAATCCACCAGCTTCTCCTTGGAAACCCTATGAGGCAGTTCTACACTACCCTATAGGGTCCCTATGAGTCAGGATCAACTTGACAGCAATGGATTTTTTTTTTTAAGTAATAACATGAGTTATAAAATTACTATAGCACATTAGAAAATTGATTTGTGAGAGAACTGCGTATAGGATTATATTTGTAAAGATATGCCTCTTTTACTAGGCTTTCATAACCATAAAGCTCATTTAATAACACTATCACTAGGATAGGCACTCATCTTCTGACCAATTTCAAGTAGAACTAGAGTTTATGAAATAGTGACATTGGGTTTCAATTAAACACATCCATTTGTTTATTCAAAAATTATGTCTTGTGTGCCTGCTGAGACAACTGTATCACTGCTAGGTAAAGAAGAGTGATTTGGCCCCTGCCCTCATGAGTTAAATTACTTAAATTATTCTTTTTATGCCTTCCATAAATTAAGTTCAATTTGCAGGCATAAGCACACTTAATTAAAATATTAGAGAAGAATGGACTGTACATGAGATGATCTTTATTAGCTAAAAAGGCAAAGCTCCTTTTACCTATCACAGAAATAATCTACTCTATCCTTTAAAAATAAGCAAAAATACTAAATCAAAATAAAGTGAATGGCAAAGATTAACAACTGCCCAAACATGATGATTAGCATGGTCAGGCAAATTGGAATGTTTAAGGAATGAAAAGCTGACTTCCTTTCTTACCAGCACATTCCTTATGACTACATCATCCAATAACTCCCCCAACTACCTTCCATAAAGGCAAACCAAAGTCCGTGGAGTCACTCAGTGATTTGTTTGTTTGTTTCCCATTCTAATATAAATACCTTCTTAAACTTTTTGGAAATAAAATCAGAAATTGACTTAAGGGAATTTCTGAGGTGTTTCTTTGCGAGGCCAGGAAAAGACTATATGCAATATATTTCCATGTCATTTTAACTTTGCAAAGTCTCTCTAGTTTGTGGAACTTAAGCTGAAAAAGGAAAGCCACAAACAAGAAAAGAAAGCTAAGCAGACTGCCAAACTTGAAGCATTTACATACTGACAAACAGATAGATAGACAGATTTCTAAAATACATATACTACTTACAAATTTTCAGGGAAATGCTAGAGATTTAACACATCCTTAACGTCACATAACTAATGATCATGAGGAAACAGCACATAGAGAGAAGTTAGTCTAATGTTTGCTGGATAAATATTATTGATAAACTATCTTAGGAACTGGTTTTCTCTCAGATGAACCATGGTATTTATGATTAAATAATATATGTTATCTTTGAAGCACAACCCCCATTAAAATATTAACCACAAACACCATTATTTATTTTTATTTGAATTACACAGATCCCAAAATAAATATAATATATTAAAAAGTCATGCACATACCATTGATCCACCGAGCTTCTGGATCATGAAGCACAAAGTCTTTCCTGAAGAGATCTTCTAAAGACAGTCTAGTTTCGGATGAATTTGTGAGTTCATCTACAATTAAAAAAAAAAAAGAAAATCCCTAGGTTAAACAGATGAAGAATTTTGCCCTAGGGTGAAATTTGGACTTGGAGTTGATTAAGAGATTTGGGATAATATGATGGAGTGAAAGTGTTTTACATGTGGCAAGGACATGAATTTTCATGGACCAAAGGATGGAATGTCATGGATCAAATTTTGTCTCCCCAAAGTATATGTCAACTTGGCTAGGCCATGATTCCCAGTATTGTATGGTTGTCCTCTATTTCGTGATCTGATGTAACTGTCCTATGTGTTGTAAATCCTAATCTCTGCCTGTGGTTAATGAGGTAAGATAAGGTTATGTTAAATAGGATTAGGGTGGAATGCAACAACCTTACTCAGATCATAGCCCTGATCCAACATAAGGGGAGTTTTCCTGGGGTGTGGCCTGTATCACCTTTTATCTTACAAGAGGTAAAAGGGGAGAGAAGTGAGCGGAGAGAAGGGACCCCACTACCTCCAAGAAAGAAGACACAGGAGCAGAGCTCATCCTTTGGACCCAGGGTCTCTGTGCTGAGAACCTCCTAGAACCAGGAAACCAAAACAGAAATCCTTCCCCTGGAGTTGGTGCCCTCAATTTGGACTTCTAGCCTCCTAAAGTGTGAAAGAATAAACTTCTGTTCATTAAAGCCATCTACTTGTGGTATTTCTGTTATAGCAACACTAAATAACTAAGATAGAATTGTAAATATTAAAATTTGGAATATTTTTCTTTAAGGAAATACATTAACGAGATGACAACATGAAGTGACTACTTTAAAATGGCTTTTGGTATTTGAGGTTTGCCTGTTTTGTGGTCTTCTTCAGTAACCTCCATTATTTTAATACTAAAATTGTCTTGATCTAGCATGAATCATCTAGTTGTTTAATCCCGTTTTTGTAGTGATATATAATGTGAAAGCAGTTAAGAATTCCTCTTGTGCACTACACCAAACAGGGCACATGTGTCACTACTTAAACATAACTCAGCCCCTTCTTTCCAAAATCACTTTGACTTTTTTCTTTAATGAAACTTTGCAGTTTAATTCTAAAAACCAAATGTGGGAGAGTTGGGGAACTTGAATGTATATGATAAACAAAACTTCTGGAATCAGAAGGAAGTTACCAAATAAAGAAAACAATAAATACCAAATTTCACCAAACCATTACCACCTAAAAAATACTAAGTGGATTTAAGAGTTAAATGTAAAAAATTCAAATGATAAAATCCTAGAATATTAATGAAAAGCACATGTTTCATATTAGTCCCTGGCAACAGATAACCTGTCTGTATACCATAGGTATAATCCCCTTTTTAGATTCCAAAATCTAAGAAATGGAAGGACAGCATGATTTGAGTACCAAAAGTAAGCATAACAGCAAACACCCTTTTAAATATAAGAGGCTACAGACAGTAATATTTCATCTTATTTGTGAAGTAATAGCATTGTTTATTTGCTGTGCAAAGTCATCTTTGTGGCCTTTCAGTTGTGACCTTCACTTTGTTGAAAATAAAATGTCAAGGATGTATACTAACCTCATTAGATTTTGTTTTTAAAAGTTTCAGCACTTACTGTGGCAAGTGCTTTGCTTTTTCCACTTTTTCCAGCTGAAACGCAGGGGCAAAGAATCAATATAACTTCAAATGCAATTCCATTTCACATGAATCAACCAGATATTTAACCCTCAAAATAACTGCTAAGAAACAGTTGAAAAAAAAATGACTAGTGAAAATCATGAGACTGATTTGATCCTGGTTTTAGCATAAGACACTGTGATTATATACAGATTTGAAAAACAAAATGCTAAATTAGGCAGTGATATACATTTGATCATTTGACCAACAACGCAGTGTGACACACCAAAATTTGAACTTAGTTAATCCATTCAACAATACTGAGCCCCTCAATTTTCAAGGTATTAAGCGCAGTATTGTAAGGTACAGGAGACATATCTCTACCCCCTAGGGGATTATACTTTAATACAAAAAAAAAAATATGATAGGTGTCAAAATAAGGATGCAGTGTATACAGGTTCAGAGAAAGGAGAGAAAATGTCTTGTGAAAAGAATCAGAGAAAGCTTCTCTTAAAAATAAAATGGCAAGGACCTTACAGGTTTCAAGGTTTCAAAAGGCAGAGAAAGGGTAACAACACAGACAAGACGAGTGGCAGCGTGTTAGATGTAAGGTTGAGTGCTCATTATTCGACAAAATAAAACAGTCCTTTCCTCTGACTCCCAAGTTCATTTTCCTTCGTAGAAAGTTTGAGAGTTTAATCAGATGAGCTAATACTACTAGGGTTTCAGAAATTGATTTATCCCATGAAATATCTCAGTAAGAGCAGATTTTGGTATGAAAATTTCAAAATTTAAAATTTTCTGAGATTGTATCACTGCATCTAATCCAATCCCTTCAATTCCTAGAGAATTATATTTAATCATCTCTATTCGATTATATTTAACCATCTGTCTGCCAGTTTGCTACACTGCCGCAGCCTGCATGTTGCTATGATGCTAGAAGTTATGCCACTGGTATTTCAAATACCAGCAGGGTCACCCAGACTAAAACAGATTAGGAAGAAAGTCCTGGAGATCTACTTCCAAACATTAGCCAATGAAAACCCTATGGATCACGACAGAACATTGTCTAATACAGTGCTGGAAGATGAGACCCCTAGGTTGGAAGACAGTCAAAATAAACAGTGGCCACAACAATGGACTCAAGCATACCATATATTGTGATGAGATGGCACAGAAGCAAAGTTTTGTTCTGTTGTACACAGAGTTGCCATGACTTGAAGCAGACTTGATGGCAACTAACAACAATAATATTTGATATATATTTATTTCTTTGATCCAAGGAAATTTATATTGGTAACGGTGGGAGATAGGGGTCTAATTTTATTTACTTTCAGTGGGAAAGCATATTATGCTAACATAATCTATTAAATAAATAATTCTTATATACTTGTAAAAAGAGCTTGGGGGCAGTGTCTGATCCCCTCTTACTTCACAAGGCGAAAGGAGAATCAAGATCAACAGCCCAGGGCTGATTCCCATGAGGCACGGGTCAAACATGCCTCCTCTCTCTGACATCTTTACTGATTCTGATACCAACCGTCCCTCCCACAGCATTCTCTACTGGGTTCGATAATTCATTGCAGTAGCCACACAGAATTTACAGACCATAGTCACGATTATGGGGTTTATTAGGGAAGTAACAGTTACAATTCAGGCTCAGGAACACTCAGGATACAGTTCTTCCATCACGACAGCCTCTCCCCAGCCATGCTCGCAGGTATGCCTCTCCCAGGCCCTCAGTCTCTGCCAAAAGGCTCTCAGTTTTCTCCCTCCATCGGCCAGGAAGCCCACCACGCCATCCCCTGCTGCCAGGTCTCTGCTGGTGGGTCTCTCCTGCTGGTTTCTCCTTCCTTGGTGGTGGTAGGCTCCTCCTCTCTGCTCTGGAACTGGCTGTCTTTTCAGGCAAACTGACCAAAGCCTTGGTAGGCCACAATTACCCTACCACCCAGTCACCTGGGTGGGAGTTACAAGACCATGGCTAGAAAGGCCACACACAAAAGTAATTAATCCACCGCACTACTGAACTGAAACAGTTAACTGTATTATATACGTTGTTGTTAGTTACCACTGAGTTGATTCCAACTCATGGTGACCCTACATGTTCAGAGTAGAACTGCCCCATAGGGTTTTCAAGGCTGTAACCTTTCAGAAGTAGATTACCTGGCCTTCCAAGGCACCTCAGGGTGGTTTCAAACTGCCAAACTTCCGGTTAGTAGTGGAGCATTTAACTATTTGTGCCACCCAGGGACTCCTGTATTATATATGGATGGCCCGTATATACACGTATCTGTTTCTCTTCTGCAAATATTTTGTCTGTTCTAAGGTGAATTACACATATTTTCTTTACTGTAGCTTTTTGGAAAGTTAATATCCAAAAATTACCTTGTGAGGCAAGTGCACTACATCAATTGATCTTATTTTCAAACTGTTTTTAAAATCATATTTTGGTATTTCTCAAACATACCTTCTTTCATGTGAGCTTTAAAATTATATTACAACTCATCAAACTGGGATTCTTACTAAAATAGCATTATATATACACAATAATTGGAAAAATAAACACTTTCTGTAATATTAAGGCTTTCCATTCAGAGTTACTTATCCCACTTACCTTTTATCTACATAATATTTCATCTCCTATTTATCATACAGAGCCCATAACTTTCAAAATAGTTTAAGTATTTATCATTTTTATATTATACTATAGATTACTGTTGTTAGTTGCCGTAAAGTTTATTCCAACACATGGCAACCACATGTGAGCAAAGTAGAACTGCTCCAAAGGGTTTTCAAAGCTGTGACCTTTCAGAAGCAGATCATCAGGCCTGTCTTCCCAGGCTCCTCTGAGTGAGTCTGAATTGCTAACCCTCTGGCCAACAGTAGAACATTTAACTATTTGTGCCACCCAGGGACCTGTACTATAGATTGTAATTACTTACAATTTGTTATTACTGTGAACAGAACAGTTCCTATTGTATTCTAAATGATTATTATACCTATTAGAATAATGATTATATTATGCACCATATCAAATTTTCTTAAAAATTCCTATTCAAATTGAGTCTATTATTTTTCTATATATTCAATTAGATCATGTCCAAAAAAACTTTTTCTTCCCCCAAATTTGAAATTTATTATACTACATTTTTTGAGATAACTGTAAGTTCACATGCAGTTGTAAGAAATAATAGAGAAACCCCATATACCCTTCATCCAGTTTCCCCCAACGTAACATTTCGCATAACTATAATAAAATATCACAACACAAAACTGACATTGATATATTCCATTGGGAGTCCTAGTGGCACAGTGGTTAAGAGTTTGGCTGCTAACCAAAATGTCGGCAGATCGAATTCAGCAGTCACTTCTTGGAAACCCTATGGGTCAGAACTGACTCAACGGCAGCAAGTTTATA